CTTTTTCGGCTAATTATATGTTAATATGTTAACATTTATGTTGATATGTTAACCTCAGTTGTTATGGGGCTTCAAACTTTTCGATAATTGAGGTAAAAAGATGGTAAATCATGAATCCATTGGTACCAAAAAGAAGATATTTTTTCTTTATCGGATACTTTTATAGAATATTTCCACTAGCATTTTTCACTTTTTTAGGTATAAATTATTGGAAGAAGCCGAAAAGAGAATGGCAACTGATGGTATAAATGAAGAGGGAAAATGGAGGATATTAAAGGTTTTCTTTTTTAATTTTAAAAAGGATTATTTTAAAAAAAATTGGCGGTTAATTTTATATTTACTAAAATCCTCAACTTTTGCGGACAAAAAAAATTTTTTTGCGGACAAGTCTTTTTATCTCTTTTCTTTAATTTTTATTTCTTTCCATAAGGATTTATATAAAAAAAATTTCCTACTTATAAAGAAAAAAATAATTTTTCTTTTGTAAATTTACAAGGTTGTCCGCAAATGTTGTCCGCAAAAATTTTAGTTTTTTATTTTATAATTTTTTCAACAAATAGTCATTTAAAATTTTTATTTTATTAAAAACTCTAGATAAAAATTCAAATTTTTTTCAGGTAGATATTCGTCCACTTTATTATCATTTAATTGTTGATGTTGGTGATCCACCCAGTGATTGGAATACAAAATAAAAATTAAAAACAACACAACAAATTAATTTTTTTTTTCTTTCAACCTTCTCTTGTTTTTTTCTTTTAGAAAAAATAAATTTAAACATCAATACTCGTCAAACAACACAAAATAAAATATTTTTAGGTAAATTGTTTTGTTGTTTTTTCTTCAAAAAATTATTTTTTGTTCTCTATTTTGGATGTGTGTAAAGTTTTTTTAGTAGGAAAACTATGTATCTAAAACAGGGTATCAGTCAGAAGCCGAAACAGATTTTAAGAAGGAGCCAGAAGCCGAAATAGAATGGAAAATTTTTTTGAAATAAACCCCGTCATAAACCCCCCTTTGTAACTCATAAGAGGGAAACGTTTCCTCTCTGTAAAGGAGGAAACGCTAAATTCCCCATTAAACCTGCTTTTCAGGTATTCCCCCACTGAAACCGACAACCTTTACTCTATCATAAAGCTAATCAAAACCAAAGAAAATTTTTCGAAGTTTTTAAAACTTAAACACATCCTAAAATTACAATTTCCCTCCAATAAAAATTGCCATATTATTAATACTTATATTGAGAGAATAAACTTTTATTAAAAGCATTTTATTTTTTATCTTAATTGAACCTCCTCAAAAATTTATTTTAAATAAATTTATTTAAAATTTTATATTGTTACTAGAGGTCGGACTGACACGAGATCAAAAAAAAATTTTTTTTAGAATTTTTTTTCGATCAATCAATTAAAGTCCGTTCTCTCTCACCCTACTTGCTTTACTTTTTATTCTTTTTTTCTGTTTTTTCTGATTTATAGTATACAGTCAACTTGATGTATTCCGTGTTTCCTAAATGTGGCGTTTTATTTTTTTAGATATCCGCTAAAGTAAGACTTTTACATAGGGAGATCTAATTTAGGATGAGGCTTCTTTATTTTAGAAAAAAATGTTAATTAATCTTTACTTGAAGGACCTTCCCAAATAACGAACCATTAGGTGTTGACTGTACATATTTATCTACTTACAATTAACTTTTTTTGCCCAAATTTCTTTGTTTTTTTTACTCAATATATTAAAATTAAATATTCAAAAATATTAAAATACTTAAATTTATATATTTAAACAAATACTTAAATATATATTTTTGTTTAAATATATTTATACACTGCGTTTCAAAAAGATGGCACACCATGTTTTTTCGACATAAGTCAACGGAAAAGTGTCTATTTCGTTTGAAATTTTTTCTGTAATTAGGTTTGATCAATATAATGCTATTAAAAAGATCCGAGCAAAAAAACCATTTTTTAAAAATTTTTTATAAAATAATTTTCAATTTTTTACTGTTTCAAAAAGATGGCACACCTTAAATTTTCGACATTAGGAGTGGTCTGAAAAATCTACAAAAATTCCTATAAACATATTTATTGATGTCGATAGAAAATACAAAAGAAACGAAGTTCTAATATGTCTCCTTCATTGAGATCTGGAAACCCAAAAATCAACGGAAAACGGGGGGTAAGCGTCTTTAAAAAATATTTTCGACCCCTTAAAGACTAAATTAAATTTTTATTTTATAATTTTCTGAAAGCCCTTTAAATTTGCTACAATACCAGAAATTTTCATTTTATAGAAAATTTTTTCCATCAAGTTGTACTTCATTAAATTTCTAATGTGCTAAGAATGAGGTAGATTTAATTATTTTCATGTTCATTGAATTTAACACTCAATATCTCACATGTAAAATTTTTTGCTTAATTGACAATAAGGGTTTCTTATACCAAATTTAAAGGGCTTTCAGAAAATTATAAAATAAAAATTTAATTTTGTCTTTAAGGGGTCGAAAATATTTTTTAAAGACGCTTACCCCCCGTTTTCCGTTGATTTTTGGGTTTCCAGATCTCAATGAAGGAGACAAATTAGAACTTCGTTTCTTTTGTATTTTCTATCGACATCAATAAATATGTTTATAGGAATTTTTGTAGATTTTTCAGCCACTCCTAATGTCGAAAATTTAAGGTGTGCCATCTTTTTGAAACAGTAAAAAATTGAAAATTATTTTATAAAAAATTTTTAAAAAATGGTTTTTTTGCTCGGATCTTTTTAATAGCATTATATTGATCAAACCTAATTACAGAAAAAATTTCAAACGAAATAGACACTTTTCCGTTGACTTATGTCGAAAAAACATGGTGTGCCATCTTTTTGAAACGCAGTGTATATTTAAACAAATACTTAAAATTTAAATTAAAAATACTTGAAATTACCCAATTAATTACTTAAATTTTATCTTTGTTTTTTTGGCTTTCTGACACTGAAGAATTTTTCTTTGTTTTTTTGCCATAATTTTATAAAAAAAATTTTTTTAATTAAATTCTTCTTTGTCAGATAAGCATTAAAATATGTCCAATATTTAAAAAATTTTATTTGCTTCCTTTCAGGCTTTTATTTAAAATTTATTGAGAATTTTACACGGCTAGATTTAAAAAATATTTTTATCATTAAATTCCTATAATTAAAAATATTTCTATTTAATTAAATTTACGCATATTAATATAAGCAAAATTCTATTTAATAATGCAAAAATTCTGGTCATTTTCTTTCATGTATATTTTTTGCTTTTTTTGTTTTTCTAATTTTGTATATCGCCGAAATGAAAATTTTTGTACTTCATTTTTCTGAATATTCTGATTTTTTTGTATTTTAGGGGATTTAATTGTGTATTTTTTATTTCGTTCTAAAATTCTGGTTTTACTCATGTGTTTGTAAATTCTGATTGTAAATGTTTTTATTCTGATTTTTGTATTTTCCGGAATATTCTGATTTTTGTATTTTCCGGAATATTCTGATTTTTGTATTTTCCGGAATATTCTGATTTTTGTATTTTCCGGAATATTCTGATTTTTGTATTTTCCGGAATTTTTATTGTGTATCTCTTTCGTATTTTATTCTGTTTTAAGTAATTCTGATTTTATGTCTCATTGTAATTCTGAATAAATTCTGATTATGTATTTCTGTGTCTTATTCTACGTAATTCTGATTTTTGTATTTTAAAGTTAAACAATTTATTTCGGCGATATACCCTTTCTTTGCATTTTTCTTTTGCCTTTTGTATTTTTGCTCCTTTCTATCAAAAAAGAATAAATTTTTATATTTTTTAGAATTTTGACTAAATTATTTTTCTGATTTTCTGTGTTACTTATTAAAGAATCCAGAAATTTGTATTTTTAAACAGAAAAATTCTGATTTTTAATGAAACAGAGTTTTCAATTTTCAACAAACTTTTATTACAACTACAGAAAAATAAAGATTATCACAGGTAGATATAAGGACAAATACAATAATTTATAGGAAAATATTTATTTATTTTTGGGGGAGGGGATACCTATTTTTTAAATTTATTTTGGTGAAATATCCTATCCAAATCTTTTCTTCTTCTCACTCTTCCTAATTTTCTTCTTCTTCTTTGCTTCTTCTGCCACCTTCCAGTTAATTTCCGCCGGTTCGTGAACAACACTCTTCTTCTTCTGCTGACCAGTCTTAAAAAGTAAACAAAAAATTTCAGTTTAAAATTCATTTTTCGACTCACTTCCTCAGCCCATCCTTCATTTGGTTCCTCTGTTCCAGCCAAACTTTTACCCGTCTTCAAGATCTCAATAGCAGTATTATCATCATCCTCCAACAAATCGCTGTCCCTTTCGAGGCTCAAAAGATCCGAATTATATTGAGAATTTTTGTTCATATTCGAGGAATTGGTGTTTTGAGATGAAGTTGGTTGATTATAGTATTTCTGAAAAAGAGGAAATTTTTGGATTTTTGAGAGAATTTAAACTCACGTCCTTCCTTTGCATCTTCATTCGTGCCATGTTGCAGGCACATCTAGCATAAGCATCTTGACGACGAGCCTCCCTCCGATCCTCTCCTTTGCGTTCCTCAATCCTTCTTCGGTTTCTCTTCTTCAGGTGGTTGTAGTAACAGTTGATGATTGAAGTGATAAGAAGAAGGCCAATGAAGATTGAGATTGGAATTAAGTAGTGGATGTATGGAGGCGTCTGGTAGATTGTATAAGTATCCATGTGGTAGACCATAACTTTGAAGTAGCCAGAAAGTAGCGCAAGGAAGCTTGTCACAAAAAATCCCAGCCGAAGAATAAGCGCGATCTCTATATCGTGAAGTTCTCCACGGAGTAAGTAGTGCTTGTCACTCTTTGTATAGTCAGCAGAGACATTAAAAAGACAATAGATGCCGCCAACAAATATAAAAAAAGCAACAATGAACGTAGTCGTGGCAACGATTTTGAAGTTTCCAGAGCCAGGATCAGATGTGGTTGTTGCTTTAGGTGTTGTCGTGGTTTGAGGAGGTTTTTTCCTTGATGTTGAAGTCTTTTTAGTTGTGGTGATCCTGGTCTTTGTTGGCGGTAGTGGTGACGTTGTTGTTGTTGGAGGTGGATCTTTTTGTCCCAATAAAGTGTAGTCTTTTGTATGCTGAATAGAAAAAGGAAAAATTTTGAAATTTTATAAGAATTTGAAGATCCTTACAAATTTGATAAAAAGTTCATCACACTCTGGTCCTTTAGGAGATACCCTTATATTGCTTTCGTCACCACTGTTGATTCGCGCCGATTCTTGTGGAAGCATATGGAAGACAAGCAAGTTGTTGTGATTCGATTTTGGCTCTGTCCCGTTGATTTTCCACGTAACAGGCTCGGCTACGACCGTGTCGTTAGGGAGGCAATGAGCTATTTTAGTCGATTTGGCATAGTCCATCTTCTGCCCACGAAAGTCCATTATGAAATTGCCATCCTCCATTATAATCAAATCGAAGGATAACTGTTTGGCTTTTACGTTAGACGTTGTGTTGGTATTCCAAACGGCTAGAACTTCGCCCACTAAAATAAAATTATCAAGAAAGGCAGACAATATTCATATCCTTACTTGGATGGGCGTGAGCAAAGGATTTATTGTTGCAGGAAGTCCACGCAGCTTCAAGAGAAGTCCACCTCATACAATCTGCCGACTTTCCACACTCCTCCTGATTATGACAATTTTCCTCCTTAGCATCATACAACGGTCCATTTATTTTTAACTTTGTGATGTTCTTGTCTCTTGTTGTGCTGTAGGCGAAGGGCAAACTAAAAATAAAATTTTAAGATATTATCCTCCGAAACAAATGTAAACTTACAGATTGGCACTGCTTCCATTAAAAGGCAAATCTTCTGAAGAACATTTCCCAAGGCATTTTCCAATCCCTCCTTTGTTCTCCACTCCAGTCTCCAACTTGATCATGTTGTGAAGACGCGAGAGCAAATCCACAGTGCAACCATTCTTCGCCGCTTTGCTTTCCTTTTTGTAGTGAAGCACGCTGAAAATGCCAAATTTATTTCAGAATTATTCTAAGAGACGTCTTACATGAAATTGTCTTCAAGAGTAACTTCACAGGCTCCAGGATGCTTCGTGTACAAACTAATGTTGTCCTTGTTGACTTCCCCAACTCGTTCGGCAAGAGTAACCATTTCATCCTTCAGCGTGTGATTGAAAAACCCAAAAGGATTCGTTGCTTCGGGAAGCTTAGTCGTGGTTGGTTCGGGAAGCTCATTGTTAGTCGTGGTTGCCGTTGTTGTTGTTGATGGAGCGATGAAGTCTTCATTGGTCAACAAAATGTAGTTATCCGCATGCTAAATAGAAAAAGGTAAATTAGAGATTTTGGAAGTGAAGCTCCTTACAAATTTGATAGAAAGTTCATCACACTTTGGACCATCAGGAAGATCATCTTTTTTGATTTTGCCATCAACGTGTTTTCGAGATGCTTTTTGTGGAAGCATGTGGAAGACCAGCAAGTTCGGATAATTGGAATTCGGTAGAGTTCCGTTGATTTCCCATGTAACAGGTTCGGCAATGCCTTTTTCTTCAGGAATGCAGGCAGCGCGATACAACACCTCAGAATAGTCCATTGGTTTCCCTTCAAAGTCCATTATGAAATTGCCATCCTTCGTTATATTCAAATTGAAGAACAATTCTGTCTCATTTTTGTCGAACATTTTGTGCGTCAACCAAAGTTCCCGAACTTCACCAACTAGAATAAAATATCAATAAGTTAAGTACACAAAATTTTTTTCCCACTTGGTTGGGTGTGAGCAAAGAATTTATTATCGCAGGTGGTCCATGCAACCTCAAGAGAAGTCCAAGGCATACATCTTCCACCATTATTATAACACGTCACGTTGTCATAACATGTCAGGTTTTCTTTATAAATTGGTCCATTTGTTAATTCCATGATGTTCTTATCTTCTGTTGTGCTGTAGGCGAAAGGCAAACTAAAAAAAGGCATTTTATTCGATTATCACCCCTACTAAAGACTTACAGATTGTCACTACTTCCGTGAAAAAATCTTGATCTTTTGCATTTCCCCAGGCATTTTTCAATCACATCGCTGTGCTTCACTTCGGTTGTAAAATAAATCATGTTCTGAAGGTTGGTGAGCATGTCCACTTTGCAACCATTCCTCGCTGCAATGCTTTCCCTTTTGTAGTGGAGTACGCTGAAAATGGGAAAATTTATTTTAAGACTATTATCAAGGAAACTCACATGAAATTGCCTTCAAAAGTAACTTCACATGCTCCAGAATGATTCGTGAACAATTCCAGATTGGTCTCGTTGACTTCTACGGTTCCCTCAGAAAGTGTAACCATTCCATCTTTCAGCGTGTGATTGAAAAACCCAACAGGGATTCCATCACCACCATCATCACCCTTAACCTGCCCGAGAAGAAACAAAAAAACCAAAGAAGCAAAGAGAGTTGGCAAAATGTTGGTAGTCGACGAGCGCAGAAATGAAGAAGACTTTCTTGTTCCAGAACCGTCTTTAAACTCTTCTTGTCGAATTAAATAAAAGAACATTTTGTTTGTTGTTGTTGTTTTGATGTTGATTTGAACGTTGCTTTAATAATTGCTTTGAAAAAAATATTTGTCGATAAGGTGTGGAGTGAAGAAAACAAAGCCTTTTATAGTATTTTAAAAGTTGGCGTTCCGTTGCTCTTTAGCTGGTGACGTCTTTTTCCCCGTACTCCTATTTTGAACTGCTTCCGACAAATACGAACAGACTCGTAAATTTATATATTTCTGATTATATTTAGTCGGATTAGGATTTGGCTTATCCAACTTGACCCACATCATCCAATCAGTAACGTTTATTTGTATAAATGTTGAAGCATTCAGGGATATACTTTAGCCGGTGGCCCACTCAGAATCGGGTCAAATTACATACTATTCGCTTCGTCTCGGCGAGCCGAGTCGAATGGTACTACTCTCTATCTGCGGAAATTTTTACGAGCCGAGATATAGGTCCTTGAAGACCGAAAAACCATAGGGAGGAGTAAGCTCGATTTTGGGGTTGAATACGATGCAAGGTTTTTCAACCGACTGAAAGTTTCCATTTTTTATTTTATCAAAATTTTGCTTACCCGTCGCTAACTTTTACATCATTTACTAGATCATCAATGCTTTAACGATTTTTATAATTATTTTTTCTACCAATTATTTCACTCATCTTTAGTTAACAGAAACTCTAACGAATTGGCTATGGGACTTTTGAGGGAAAATTGTATCAGTTTAGGCTTTTAAAAATTAGAATTTGGGGAATTGTTAAAATGATAGAAACATTATGTGGGAAAATTGAGAATTCAATAGAGGTGTTTGTCGTTAAAGAAATCAAGTTTTTTTTGATGGAGGAGTGAAAACGGAAAGTGAAAAAGGCTATAAGTAAGTTGTTGTTGCTGATATTTCAACAGATTTCTATCACACATTAATTGCCAAGAGTGTTTTAAAACAAATTTTAGAAAAGCTGACAGACGAAAGAGGATCAATAAATCTAAACAATAATGACTAATTGTAACTCCAAGTTCGAAATTTTATTTAAAAAATTGAGTATTCCTGAATATATTTTATTTAAAAATTTAAATATGTTTCCAGTACGATTTTTAATAAATTTATTTTACATATTTTTCTTTAGCTAAAAAATCTTGAAATATTTTTTCAGAAGAATGTTTCAATTAAAGAATGCTTATATTAAAAAAATTTTTTTTAATTTTTTATTTTAACTTGAACAACTAGACAGAATTTGTTTACAATATTTTCTTACAAAATTTTAAAAGAATGTCGTCGAAGTCGAAGAACTCGCTCGGCAGTTGAGGAGAATAACTGGACTGAAAGAAAATATAGGAACGGCCAATGGTCCCCTTATGATATACCTTGTACAATTTTAATAAGGGTGATATTTAAGACAGGCAATGGCTCTTTAAAAACGTTGAAGGAGAAAAAATCTCGATTTGTGGAAAATTGTGTGTCTAAGAACACAATTCCTACATATTATCTTTACCTCAATAAATAATTAAACACAAAAATTTTTCTAATTAATTTATTCATTGCTTTATTCCAAAACGACTGTAAAAATTAAAAAAAGAAAAGAAACAATTTTCTATCAAAATTAAAATAAAAACAGTCGAATTTAAAATAAAAAAAAAGATCAAAATTTAATCTCAAATAATGGAGAGAATTTTTTAAATTTATTTTTTAATATAAAAAATAAAATTTAAATTAATAAACTAAAAAGAAATCCAGTAAAATTGGATTTAATTTAATAAAAAAGAAAAAAAAATTAATTTTACTCCAAGAAAAATATTTTTTATCGCTAGCGACTTTTTGCATTTTTTTTCTAGTAAATTAATAAAGAGTATAATAAAATTAAAAATAAATATAGACCGGAAAGATTATTTAAAATCTCTAACCTCTATCTCTAACCTCTATAAAAATAAACTTTTCCGGAAAACTTTTATTCTCTACACACTTCCGGAAAAATAAATAAACCTTTCCGGTCTCTACACAATTAAAATAAAAACAAAAGAAAATAGTGTTGGGATTAGAGAAAAGTTTTACAAATTGTAATTACAAATTGTAAAATTAAATAAATAAACTTGGAAAAGAACTCTGTCTAACTTCTTTGTATTTTTCCAACTTGAAAACTTGAATATAATTTTCCAACTTTTTTTCCAACTTGAAAAGCAAAAATGCTTCTAAAAACTTGAAACTTGAATTTACACTGTCTGCGCTCCACTTATCTAAAACTTGAATTACCAAAGCATTTTTAAAATGCTAAAACTTGCGCATATTCAAAATTAATTAAATAGGCGGACAATTAAAGGCAAATTAAATTAAGCCTTTCATGAGTGAAAGAACTACACATCGCGGCCGGGCGATTCCAAAAAAATTTTTTTGAGGTGAAAAATTTTCCGACACAAAAGGAAAATAATATTTTTAATTAGGAAGGGCTTCTATAAGAAACATTGAATTTTGAGGGAAGGGGAAATTATACAGAATTTAGGGGGAAATAAGGGGAAGGAGTGAGAGAAGGTGGGGAAGAGGGGAATGAAGGGACAAAGATAAGCAGAAGCCACTTGAATTTAACTTTCTCTTTTTTTAATTTTAATTTTAAAACATCCTCAACAAATCTCCAAAATTTAAATTAATCAAGTGGCCATTAAATACTAATTTTTATTTTAAAAAAGTGTCGGGGAAAGGCCGGAGCGTTTTGTGTTTTTTTGTTATTACTAATAATCATGTGGTGGTACAATTTTCAATTTTTTTTTGTGAGATGCCTGAAGATTTTAATTAAAAAAGGCTGTGACCAGATTATTTCAAAATGTAAACTTTTCAAAAAAATTTCGAAATGTCGACTTTCCAAAAAATTTCAAAATGTCAACTTTTCCAAAAAATTTCAAAATGTCAACTTTTCAAAAAAATTTCAAAATGTCAACTTTCCAAAAAAATTTCAAAATGTCAACTTTTCCAAAAAATTTCAAAATGTCAAATTTCCACAAAAAATTTCGAAATGTCGACTTTCCAAAAAATTTCAAAATGTCAACTTTCCAGAAAAATTTCAAAATGTCAACTTTCCAAAAAAATTTCAAAATGTCAACTTTTCAAAACGTCCATTTTTTAATTTCAAAAATTTCAATTAATCTGGTCACACTCTTTTTTTATATTGCTACAATATTGCTTGAACGATGCATTTTCTAATTAATTTAGAAACTATGCTTTTACTAGCTGTTTTTACGTGAAACATTTTTAGTTTAAAGAAAAAATAGGAATATTTAAAGAGGGAAAAGAATTGCTGAATTTATTAAAAAAGGTGGAAAGGGGTGTGATTTTTTGTTTTTGGGATAAAATGTCTTTTCTTTACAAAAATTAAAATTTTTCCGAAAATTTTTTTCGGAAAAATCACACCCCCAAAAAAATTAAAATAAAATTATGTACACAATGGCCTAAAATTATAATCCGTCCAAATATTTTTTAATTGAAAAAAAAATTAATTTTGAGTGTATATAAACATTAATTTAAGCAAAGATTAATTGGGGAAGAAGAAAAGTACAGTCAAAATCACACTATAAGGGACACCCAATAGTAGCTACTAGAGCTGTCCAAGACCGAAAACTTTAAGAGATTCGAGACCAGAACTACATCTCAAGACTTTGACCGGAAAACCCCAAGAAAAGTCCTGAGTCAAGGCTCAAGACCAAAAGTCTTGAACAGCTTTAGTAGCTACATCTCTATTTAATTAGAAGCGTGGGGAGACAGAAATGTCTAAACGATATATCCTCTATTTTAAAATTACCCTTCATTTTAACGCAAGTATTTATTTTAATCCAAAAAGGGGGCATTTAATAATGAAATTCTGACTGTATTTTTTAATTCTCTCATTTTTAAAAATTCTAAAAAAAAATTTTTGTAATGAGGAAAAGTACATTTTTAAATACATTTTCAATTTTCCAAAAAAATTGTTTTTTTTCTTTAGAGGAATGAAAATTTTTTTAAAATAAATTAATAACTAAAAAATAAAATAAAAATACATTAAAAAGGTCAGTCAACACTCTCTCTCACATTTACGACACCCTTCCACATCCCCTCACAATGTCCGGTTAAAAAGACCCCTGACTTTACATTCCCTACTAACAGAGGTGGGCCAGAATTCCGACTTCCGATTTCCGAAAAAGAAATTTTGATTTCCGAGTTCCGACTTTTGAGCCATTTCCGATTTCCGACAGTTCCGATTTCCGAGATCTCTGACTGTCCCGACTTACATTCCCTACTAATATCAACTTAATCTAGCCCTGAGGGGTAGCCTTAGCTTGCTCTCCTTAAACGACACAACCTTCTTTCTTACGTCAGCAAATCTTAGGTCTGAGAAGAGTGTCACGTAATAGAGAGCTTCGAACAAAAATTTAAAGAAAATTAACTAAAAAATAAAGAATTTTAAATTAGCTAAGGCAGGAGAAAATTAGTTTAGTTAATTAAATTAAAAAAGTAGAAGAGAAGAAGAGAAATAAATAAAATTTAAAATTATAAATTTACTAGAAAAATTTAAAATAAAAATTAGGACAAAAAGGAGATCTCCCATTTTTAAACTAATTTTTTTGGTTGTTGGGACAAATACTTATGAAAAAATTTTTTTGACGTTTTTTGGGATATTTTGTCACCTCACTTTTTTAAAATATTTTCTTAAACACATACAAAAGTCAATCAAACATTAATAGAATCCCCTGTAGAAGTCAGAGACTTCTTCGCGCCTTCCTTCTCAAGTATTTGTCCCCCAACGAGGTGTTCGAAATCCTTTTTCGAAAATAACCAAAATTCTTTTTTCTTTGTTTAAAAATTTCGAAAATATCGATAAAAAAAATTTCGAACACCTAAACACGAAAAATAAAAAATATTTAAAAATAAAAAAAATAATTATTTTATTTACACTTTTAGGCATATTATTCTTCATTTATAATTAGAAAAAATTGAAAATAAAAAAAAGTAAAAAAGAAGGCAGACAGTGGACAGAGATATTCACAAAAATAGAGCCCCACTTCTTTTTTTAACAATTTTATGAATTTAAAAATTAGGAAAAAAAATTATTTATTTTTATTTTTTGCACGTGTAAAATCTTTTAATATTTTTTAAAAGAATTAAACCCGCGCTTTTTTTAATTTTAAATTTTAAATATTGAGAAGACTAAAAATTAGGAAAAAATAAAAAAATATTTAAATAGAACAAAAAGGAAGAAAAGCAATCAAAAAGAAGTTTGAGTGTATTGTTTTTTTTTTATTA